CTTCTAGGGTTTCGGAATTCGGGTTTGGGGTTTGGGGAAGTCGGGGGTTTAGGGGAAGTGGGGTTTATTTAGGGTTTAGGGAAGTGGAGTTTACCCTAGGGATCAAAATCGCCCAAAAGCCTTATGTAGCATGGTCTTTGGGCCCAAAAGCCTTGATATATGAGCGCTTAGATCCCTAGGGTTAGGGTTTCGGGCTCACCTCATCTGTTTTTCGATTGCGGACGCTTTCTAGCGAAAGAAGCTCGCAGTTCTCAGCCTGAGCCATGGCTTTTGGTGGGTTCAGGGTTAGTGCACCGAACCCTAAACCTAAATTCTATGCCCTAAACCCTAAACCGTAAGCCCCAAACCCTAAACATATATCCCGAAAACCTAGTGTTGGGAGGTCAGTTTCGACTTAGGCTTGTCGGGCTTAGCGTGTTTTCACTACCGATGACAAAGAAAAGGGATATCCCCACCATATTGGCCTTCCATGTATATAAGGGTGTTAAAATGGGATATCCCTAACCGCATTTTTGCTTATGTGCTTTTTTTGGGGGCCCCAGACAAAGCCCCAAGTCCTTCAAACGGTACCGCTGCAGTCCCGGCCTGGGATGGCGTTGAAGAAGATGCTCAGCCAGTTCTCACCGAATCAGAGAAGGTGGGGTTAAGGTCTTCTAGGCTCTATGATTTATGGGCTTAGAGGGTTCATAGGGCTTGCAAGGTTTATAATTAGTAGCTGAGTAGGTAACCTTTGACCTTTTGGGGTGTATATAATCCTGCGATAACTGGAACGGTGAACCTTTTTTTGGCTAAGTATGGGTTTGCAGGGCTTCCAGGTTGAAGGTTTAAGGCCTTGGTCCTTCGTTGTGTGCTTTCTGCTTGTGCCTGACCGCCCGAAGCCCTAAACTCTAAATCCTCAGCCTGAAGTCCTAGACCCTTTAAACCCTAGACCCCAAACCCTACACTTTAACCCCTATGCCCTAGATCCTCTCCTTCCTGTGGTGCTGACGTTAAGGTCCGGATCAGTGTCGAGGCTTCACGAAGTCAATGCAGGGCCGGAGTACCTGGTACGAGTATCCCTGACGGCCCCTGAAGAATCAAACATTGCCAATGTGCCCCAAAGTCCCCGTTCCAGTTGTCCAGGTCCCTATATTACGCCCATAGCGAATCTGTATACCAACCCTTTTAGTAATCCTTTTCCAGAAACTCGAAGCGAAGCCTGTTGTAGTAACCGAGGCCCATACTAGCCGCCTTCACTTTTGACAAAAGAGTTTCGGTTTGGGCCTTCGGTTCTAGCGGGTCCTTCGCATGGTAGGATGATCTGAGGTTGAGGTTCATTTGCGGGTCCTTTCCGGTTCCGGTGAGGACGGCTCATCTTCTCTTGGGTTTGGGTTTTCGGTTGAGGTTTTAGGGTTTAGGGTTTAGTTTAGGTTTACAGGATTTAGGGTTTAGGCTTTTGGTTCTGCTAGGCTTCCCGGAACCCCTGCGACATAACTTGGTGGTTCCGCTGTGAGTGCTCTTAGCTTCCTTGGCAGAGCAACATACTGTTGCTGTTACTGCTACAACTATTGTCATTTGTCACTGTTGCTGCGGCTGCTACTGCTACTGCTGCTGCTGCTGCTGCTGCTGCTACTACTACTACTACTACTACTACTACTACTACTACTACTACTACTACTACTACTACTACTACTACTACTACTGCGACCACCACCACCACCACCGCCACCACCGCACCCACGACGACGACTACTGCCACTCCTGCTGCTTGTGCTGCTCCTGTGGCTATGACACGAGGCGGTCACGATCAATGGCAAGATTGCAGCCACTGTTGATACATGTTGTTACAACCATGTCTGCAAGCTTTTCGATTTTCCTCCCTTTGAATGTGCATGTGTAATATATATATATATGTACATATGTGTGTGTATTGATGTGTATGTGTATATATGTACACACACATACACATACTAGCACGTCGCATTGCCAGAAGGCTGTCATGCTCTGACCCGCAGGCGCAAGCCGCTTCGGAGATCAAAAGGATCCTGAAGGCGATTCCTGGCACACGAATCAATATGGGTTAAAAGCAGTTGTAGGATCAGCATCAACATAGTTCGAGTGATAGATATGTGGATGCAGGAGTATGTTGGCAGTAGCAAGGCTAATAGCAACACTGATGCAAAGGCAGCATAAACGTGGCGGAAAAAGGTTATCAGGGCAGAGGAAGGGCAAGTCGGGCGTCCGAGTTCTCATCTACTTTTCAGCGCAAGTCTTTGCAAGCTCTGTCGCGTGCGTGTGGCAGCAGACTTCTCCCTTTGCCCTCATGAAACAAAGCTGTTACTGTTGTTACAGCACCGAGAACCCATGATTCAGATTCCCAAGCCCTGCAAAGCCTATGATCCTCCCCAGGTGCCTCGACGCAACGCTTGCAGGACGTGTGATCAACAGAAATCCCATACCTCTCTCCCTCTGTCTTCCTGCCAGTCATTCCGAAACAGCCCCCATATAGAGATCGAAACAGCCAGTGACAGTATGTCTTATAGACGATACATTATGTGTGATGCCACAATACAGACCAAAGCTTCTCTCTCGCAATGCCGCCGAGTAGTAGGATCCATCATCACTATCAAGGTCCCAAAATTTGAGCTGCCCCTTAGGCGCAGACTCTGCCATTGTGCGCAGGTGCCCACCGGAGGAGGGGCGTGAGCTAGTGCCGCAGTTTGGATTGAGGGCCTTTCCTTGGGCCTCAGGGCTTTCCAAGCTGCTCTATGTTTCCGAAGTAATCCGCGAAGCGTGGCTGGAATTCACGCCGCTTTGCGCAACATCCCTCATGTTCCGGACAGCACATTCACCTACTGTGAATGCTGAGGAGGCTTGGCGAGGAGCAGATGTTACTTGAGTGGCTCCTTGCCCTTTCACCTGATCAAAGCTATTTTCCCGAAGCCGTAAATTCTAAACTCCATGGATCCTCATTCAACCTAGACCAGCCTAGGCCCTACCTGAAAGTCCTCGTCAAGTCAAGTGCCAGGCCTCCTGAGTTTAAGTAGCAATGGAGCAGCACTTGGAGGGTCGGGGGACTTAGTAACTGGTTATTATTAGGGACTTATAAGTACCATAACTCCAATTAGGGTCCGTTTTAGGGTACTTATAAGTCTACTTACTTCCTACTTACCAAGTCCCCCGACCCTCCAAGCAGTGAGGCAATGCAAAGAGCAGGCCTGACGGAGCGAGCTTTGCTTCTGTCCCTCGCGCCCCGTCTAGGGAAAAACAGCAGCATTTGCCCTAAAGCCTTCACCCAATGTGGTTTAAGTCCGAAACCAGGCCCCCTACCCCTCCTCCCCACCTCTACCCCCCAAAGATCCTAATGAACACAAGGAGTGCAAATCACAATAGAAGAAGCAGTCCCTCCAACCCTGATATTCTCCCAGAGCCCCAAATCCAAACTCTTGCACCGAAGCAGTAAATCTTAACGCCTACAAAGACCCTGAACCCTAAACCCCTAAACCCTAAATCCTAGACCCTATACCCTAAGCCCTAAACCACAAAGAGCCGTCTTTGCATCCTAAACTCCAGCAGCGCTGACTGGAGAAAGCCTCATGCGTCTCCCTCGTCAGTCGGTGCTTTGCCTGGGCCCCACCCATGCAGTTTAGGGTTTCGGGTTTAGGGTTGAGGGTTTAGGGTTTAGGCCTGAGAGTTTAGGGTTTTTTAGGGTTGAGGGTTTAGGGTTTGAGGTACGGGTGGGAAGATCGGAACCAAAATTCCCTCAAGGTCCCTAGACTTTCTGAGGGTTTTGGACGGTCTGCCGTTCAGAATATATCCTAATCTCTGACGCCTAAAAGCCAAAATGAACCTGACTAGAACCCTCTAGACCTTAAAACTCAGGGGGCTTCCAGTCTGGAGCCCTTATGAAGTGCCCATATAGAGACTTACACACAGACCTCATACAGCCTGGGTTTCGGGCTTTAGGGTTTGGAGTCGCGCAGAGTGCTCGTAGAGTGGGAGAGTCTGAGTCCTCCTGTTTGCAGAGCCATGGCCGGGTCTGGGTAAACTCACCGAGTCGCTAGGCAACCAGCACCAGCCTTGTAGCTTCGGACTATGGACTACCCTGTAAGGCCCGATAGTAGTTCGTTTTTGGGATTACTTTATAGGATTCTATATATGAACCCCAAAAAGGAACTACTTTGGGGCCTTAGGGTATAGATACAATTTAACGTAGATGGAGATCTTGGGAATGGTGCAAGGTAGGTCCCTGATTTAGGGGCTGTGTGGTTGCCTGAGTCTGCAGTGCTCGTGCCATGCAGATGCCAATGACTGACACAGAGAGCCGGCGGGATGTCAAAAAGATGAGAGTCTAGAGTTTAGGGTCCTTGAGAATCCCGCGCTGAGCTGAGCGTATCAAGTAGCTATAGTCAGAGTCTAAAGAGTTTTGGCTTGCGCATCTTGCCTTGCACCAAGGCTTCGATAAGGCATATCCTGCTGCGTCCTATGTTTCCCTTATTGATTCAAGCTGCGTGCGATGAGTTCCGGCATGGGCACTTTCTGCATTACAAGCCACGGTGGGCGGAGGCACAAATGCCCAATCGTAATTCCTTGAAGGTAGCTCAAGTTCCAGAGGAGTTTGACATGTGCACGGAGGCCCGCAGATTGTAGGAAGAGCTTAAAAGCCCTTAGCCCGGGACTCTAAACTCACAATACTGCACAGCCTCAAACAGCCAGATCCCACGAAGCCTAAGCCCCAAAATCCCTAGCTCGAGGCCACAATTCCCCTAATCCCAAATCCCGAACAAACTGCGCAAGTAGGCTTTCGACAGAGCCACTATGCCCTCAAAAGATCACCTGACGACTCCTCAGCAGCTCCGAGACATGTTCGAACAGCATAAACCCCAAGCTTATAGGGGCCAGAATAGTTTCCTATAGTTTTTTTTGGGGGTTCCTTACTATAATCTGGCCGAAAACCCTATTCTAATTGTTAAGTCCCTTACATGAAACCCTAGGCCTTAACCCTTCCCTCCGTGCCTGAGGTGTCGAACACGTGGCCAGGAAATGCCCGCATTAACCTCTTCTCCGCGACCTGCGCCGATGTCGACGAAAGCAGCTGCTCTACAGCTGCAAGAATGTTAATAACGGTATTTCGTACCAAAAGCCATAACAATAGGGTAAGAATTGTGCTAATGGCAGTAACCATAGTCATATTAGTAGTAAAAACAAGAATCAGTCCTGGTTGTCGAGTTTGATCATAGGCTTCCCTTCGCGTCCAGGGGCATGGGTTTGAGGCCTCGAGGTTCAGGGCTTGAGATGTGCCGAGAGACTCCAATGTCCCTTAGTTAAGGAAGGCCTGTAAGGGATCTATAAGGGAGCTATAGGGTTTAGGGTTGAGGGGAATATCCCTCAATTAAGGAAGATACCTTATTCTAGTAGGATCCTTAGTATGATTTAAGGAATATTCCTTAATATGGGGATGTTGGAGTCTCTGGCTGCATCGCCTCTTCTGTTTCAATGTGGGTTGCAGGTTTAAGGTTTAGGGTTGAGCGTTTGAGGATTAAGGGTTCAAGACTGGGGTCTTAGGATTAAAGTTTGGAGTTTAGGGGTAGGTTTTTGCTGACGGCTTTCTTGAAAGGAGGGCGCCGCACGGATTTTCGGCTTAGGGCTCCTTTAAACGGGCATCGGAGTTTCTATAGTAGGGTTCCTGTAAAAGGGTGTCATGGGGTTTCTTTTAAAGGGTATTATCGGGTTCTCTAATGGGGTTTCGGGTTTGGGATTTCTCGGTTTGGGGTTTGGGGGTTTTCGGGTTTAGTGTTTGGGTTTTTTCCCATTGAGAGTTTAGGGTTTTCCATCGCTGTCTTCATCACGGGACCATGAAGCACCCATTGGTGCGGCCCCTCCCTCGGTCAAGGTTCTGCCTAAAAACGCTAAGCGAGGGTTTTGGCCATTGCTGACTCACGGACTTCTGCCTACGTGATCTGGCACGCGAAGCTTTGTGTTCAGAAAGTCCTAACAAGATACAGCAGCGTACTGGACATGGAGTGCTTCCTTAATCTTTGAGCTTCAAGCGTAGCTCCAAGCCTTGCAAGCAGGAGTTGCAGCCCACTGTTTATCGGATGGAGACCCTAGAATAGCGAGGTAGGAGTATAGTCCCTTGGAGTCGTTGATAGAACTGTAGCGTCAGATAGATCCAAGCCCCATCCCAATTAAGGGTCTCTATGTTCGATCCCAATTGTGGCAAGTCCAAAATGCCTAACTTCTCCTGAAGATTAGGAGACCTCCTGAATAGAAGATCCCCGTAGCCCAACAGGAACCCCATAAGACCCTCAAAGAGCTCTGGAACTGTGCCTTGCTCCTGAAAACCCAACGGACAGAGAGCCTCGCAGCGCCGTGCGAGCTTGTGCCTGCTGATGGACAAAAATAGAGTCCTAACTCGTAGAACACGCAAAAACGCACTCCCATGCAGGATCACCGGAATTTTGGGGCCTTGGGGGACCGCAAAAGACTAAAGATCACAACTAAGGCCCAAAAAACTCGTGCGGATCCCTAGGCAACATCTTGGATCCCAAGTACATCCAACGCTTCCACGAGATCAACCAGCCCCTGGATGATATGACATTAGAGAGTTTTCTGTTTCACAAGGTGTTCCTATTTCTGATGTTGAAAAGCGATTCTTGCTTCCGAGGGGTTTCTTCTTCAGCTTGCAGACGGTTTCGGGTTCGAGGCTTCGGGTTTAAGTGGCCTAGGGTCTAGCTTTTTGCGTAAGATGTCCTTGCTACCCTTTCTGACATTGGAAGCTTGCAGGTTCGAGGGTTTAGGGTTGAATTATGGTTTAGGATATCGGGTTTAGGATTTAGGGTTTCGGGTTTACGCTTCGGGGTAAAAACCAGGCAATAGTCAGTGTCCCAGTCATAAAATTACCGCAATACCCTATCGAGGCAGATGCGAAGATCCTACTTTCGAAGCCAAAATTTTCCTCAAGCCTTTAAGGCAAAGTATACCGTATCCTAGCACTAGTCATACCTCATGCGTATTCCAACTTTCGAGGGTTCACTATAAGAGGAGCCCTAAAGCCCTAACATTCCCAAAGGAACCCTAAGCGCTAAGCTCTGAACCAGCCGAAGCCGTCAACCCTAAGCCATCCACGTTCCAACTTTCGAGGGTTCACTAAGACGTTAAATCCTAAACGCTAAACACTCCCTTGCCAAGGCGAATCTTGAACATCACGATCGATGGTGATGCTTTGGTGGAGCATCTTGGCATGATACCCTAAACCCAAACCCTTATATATTGTGGATTCCCCAAGAAGGGTCCAAGTACCCAAAATATTTGGGCTTCAGGTAACAAAATCCAGTAAAGCCACGTTTCGCTTGGGTTCGTTTCGGTTTTTCAGATGGGGTTTGATTCGGTTTCGGTTCGCGCGGTTCGTTGCGGTTCTTCCTGCGGTTCGGTTCGGTTCCGGTTTGGTTAACCCATCCCTCCATCCATTGAGACCCCTCCATCCATCCATCCAGCCCTCCATCCAACCCCATCCAGCCGCCCTCCATCCAGCCCTCCATCCAGCCCCTCAATCAACCCTCCACCAACCCTCCTCCATCCATCCACCACGCCTCTACCCAACCAGAGCCCTCCGCCATTCAGCCAACCCCCTCCATCCAGCCCTCCATCCAGCCCTCCATCCAGCCTACCCACCTCCATGGAGCCTCCATGTGCCAGCCCATTTGAGCAATGTGGGAAGGGGTCGAAGCGGCTTTCCCTGCACGCACCTCCCTGAAAGGGTGGCTGGAAGGGGTTGCAGTGATCCATCGCGCAAAAGCAATTCGAGCCTTGGTGTTTTTGGTGGCTCTGCCAAAATCTTCAACACTGTCTTTCCTGTGCGTCAACGCTGGCTCGAGTCATCGTGTTTGCCCTCACTGGCCCTTCAACAGCCCTGACCACTGACCAAGGGCCTTGGAATTCCTCGCGCGATTGCAGGAGAGCAAGTGGACGCCCCGCCAACCTGTGGTAGAGGCAAATGGCGCGCTCTAGGAGCAGCGCCGCGGCATCCTCGCTCGCGAGTTCCAGTGGAACAAGGCCAGTACTGAAAGTTTGCTTGATGAGTGCTTCCTTGTCTCTCTCTTTGGTTCTGCTTTCGTCTGTATCTCGCCTTGTGTCCGTCAGCAAATTCATCCCTCATTCTACAAACACTTAGACCTTGTCTTGTAGAGTTTGCGTGTCTCATTTTAGGCAGCTGATGTCCAGTTTTTTGTTTATTCCTCCTAGCGAGTTTTTCGAAACAACTTGGTACCTTAAGACGCTTCGCTTGCAGGACAAGTCGCACCAAGAGTTTGCCAACAGCAAGCCCCAAGTTGTTGTGCAAGTTGTTGGGGCGACAGCTGGGCACCCGGATAACTCTGGAATGTGGTGCATCGGTTGGATTGGCATTGTTAGGGAGTTAGCAGGACAAGGTGTGGGCGGACACCTAGCCCAGGCAGAGGATGCTGCGGCTGAAAGCACCGGGTGCTCGCACTCCTTCCTCGCTGCTTGTCTCCATGATGGCAGTTGCCCTCCTGGTGGATGCGTTGTGTCGTCCTGCTCGTTTTTGGAAGCGCAGATCTCTCAAGACTTACGGTAACACCCCACTCGCTGCGCACGTGTCTTCGTCATATGTTGTCGCCACCTCGTCATTGTCGTCGTGTCTTTGACCGTCGCCAGCAAAAAGGTGGCAACCTCCATGGCCCCCTTGGTGTTCTCGGGTCGGCGCCGTCCTCGAAACTGGACCTCAGCTAAACCCTCATTCTATAGAACACCTCGAAAATTGTCGTCTTGAAACGTGAACCCAAAATCGCTGGTAGACCTAGTAGGCTTGCAGCAAAGGTAGCTCGTGATGCGGCTGCCATGTCTTTTTGGGAGGAGTGTGGATGGAGGGCAATAGTGGATGGAGGGCGGCTGGATGGAAGGCTGGTGGCTGTAGGAAGAATGGAGGGGTTGGCTGGATGGAAGGCTGAGGCTTCAAGGAGGGTTGGACGGAGGGGGTTGGCTGGATGGAGGCTGGAGGGAGAGCTGGATGGAGGGTTGGATGAAGGGCAATGGTGGATGGTGGATGGTGGATGGATGGAGGGTTGGCGGTCGCACAACGCTGGAGGCTGGAGGGCTCGAGCGTTCAGGAACTGGATGGAGCGTTAGGGGCTCACAAAAGGCTGGATGGAGTGTTGGTGGATGGAGGGTTGGGGGGGCGGATGGAAGGCTGTAGGAGCTGGGAGGAGGGTTGGAACTGGATGGAGCGTTAGGGGCTCACAAAAGGCTGGATGGAGTGTTGCTGGATGGAGGGCTGGGGGGCGGATGGAAGGCTGTAGGAGCTGGGAGGAGGGTTGGATTTTGGATGGAGGAGGGCTGGAGGGAAGTGCCTGGAGGGATGGATGGAGTGAAATGCGGTTCGGTTCGCGCGGTTCGATTTTGTGTGTCGGTTCGGCGGTTCGCGGTTTTTGCGGTTCACAGGGGTGGACCGTGCCCGGTGTTTTGGTTCCGGTTTGCGGTTCGGTTCGCGGCCTTCCTGAAAATCTAATGTGGGCACCTTCATAATTCGAATAGTTAAAGTTTTGGGGTCTATTATACTGTGCTGACTATAAGAACGCACCTCAAGGAGTATATTATATGTACTAGAACTATAATTAAGGAACCCCGAGGTGTATATTATCCTATAGCCATAATGAGGAGCCCTAAGGAGTCACATCGGGAACGGTCCGGCTCCTCGAACGACAGCCGGTGCTCTTGGTTGGCTTCCCGGGAATTTAAAGCGAGGGACCGAAAGGCCGCATGGGCGAGGATTGTTGAAGCCAACGCCGCTGTAAGAGATTTTAGGGTTTATGGTTTTTAGGGTTTAGGGTTTTATACGCGGCATGACGTTGAGCAGCTCGGGCCAGACGGTTTTGCTGAGCTGCGAGAAAAACGATGTGTAGTGTTCAGACGAACAGGCTTCGATCGCGAGGTTTAGAACGTGTCCACAAAACGGTCAAGGTTGAGGGGAACGACTCCGAAAGGGTCGTAAACACTTTGCAGGTAACACGGATCCTGTGCGCCTTACACCCAAAACCCAAACCTTACACCGGCTTTTTGCTCCCGGTCCCGTGGGTCCCTTCAGCCGAGGGTTTCGGGCCACGATTACTTTTTTCAGGGTTAGGGAACGTTTAGGGTTTAGGTTCCGCGAAATAGTATCAGAGCAGCCTAGAAACTGCTTCGACTCTGGTGTGTATTCACAACCTGCACACAAACACACACGTCTAAGCTTCAATCATGCATCAACAGCCTGCATCCCTGTACCTCAATTGCTACACTCGTGAGCCCTAGAGTCTTAGCCCCGCAAGCCTAGGCCCTCAACGTCTAAACTCCGAAGTGTCTACATTCCTACACCCGAAACCCCAAGACCCTATAAACCCCAAACCCCAATACCCTAAACCCAAAAGCCCTAAACCCTAAAACCTAAAAAAGCATCGCAAGCCCTCACCCCAAAACTCAAAAGCCCCAAGGCAGTTGGATGCCGACCACAAGCGATCAGAGGGCGACAATCGACCCTGGACCATTTATGCTGGGGACTGGAGCCGCTCGGGTTCCTTTTAAAGGGTACTTTGGGTCTCTGTGGTTGGGTTCCTTTAGAAGCGTATTATGGAGATCAAAAACAGGGCTCTATAATAGGAGCCCTTTTAAAGGGTACTATGGGGTTCTATAGTTGGCTTGGCTTCCTTTTACACGGTATGCTGGTGACGGGAGTTGCTCCACTGTGATGGTTTAGTGTAGAGGCCCGAAACGCTGAGATTACGTACAATTAGTGCCGAGATTCCCGATACATTATACTTAAGGATGGAGGCTATTGGGTTTCCAACTTTTGGGCTTCTACTGTAGAGCCGACCACCACCCCACGCCGAGACTCAAAAGGCTTTGTTGCTGATCTTATTTGTTAGTTTAGGGTTCCTAATCGTAAAGTCCAAAAGAGCCTGCCATGAAGACAATAGGTCCATCCTATGCCCCGCAAACTGTGAACCTTTGCGTTGATAATTTCATTTCAGCTTGCACAGAGCCTGGTGGACTTCTCCAGTGGTCCAGTGTCTGCAATTGACTCAAGTTGGCAGATATGCTGAGCATTTTTCTCGTGGGTGGGGAGGTTACGGTGCAAGGTTTATGGTTTAGGGGGAGTTTTAGATTTAGGCGTGACTTGGATGCAGGTTGTCATCATGGATGCAGGCCTGTTTCCTGAAACCCTTATAGTCACCTGTTCAAAACTCGAAACCCTTCAGAATCACTCCTTAGAATCCCGATAAGCATCTTATTAGGATAAACCTAATCCCGGAACCCCATAGAACCGTGACAAGACCCGGTTCCGTTCTTGAACCAGCATAAGTCCTCCTTCGCCTCTTGGCCCCCATGCCAAGATTTCAACGGCCGTCCAAAGAGTGCAGCTCGGCAAGCATTACGACGCTTAAGGCTTAGGGTGTTGGGTTTTGGGTTTAGAGTTTTAGGGGTTGAGCGGTTCGGGGTTTGGGTTTAGCGACTGAGGCGGCCGAATGGTTACTTACAATCTTTTCCTCTTGGTCGCCTGCGCTTCGCATTTCACCATGAAGGAGTAAGTTTCTCGCTGGGCTCTTCCTTTCGGCGGACCTACAGGTAACAGTTGTGGTCGAATTCTCGTACCCACCTTTCTTCTAACGTGATGTTTGAGGTTGCCAGGGTTCCTGTGTCCTCCACAGCATCCGAAGCATGGAGCACTCACATTCGAATATGTTGCTGCGCTCGGGTTGATCTGGGGACCCAGAGGTTAGGGTTCAGGGCTTTATGGTTTAATGGTTTTCGGTTTAGGGCTAGGGTTTAGGGTTTAGGGCTTCATGGTTTTAGGGCTTAGGGCGTAAACCCCTAAAGCCCTAAATCCCTAAACCCTGCCCTGGCCTGAGGTCGACGGGTCAGTTGTCTTCGAGGGGCGAAAGTGCTTTGCCTTTGGGCCTTTTTGTGGGAAGCCTGGCTCGAACCAGAGAGCCTTTTTGTGTTAATTCGGGCTTAGGGTTTAGGGTTTAGGGGCTTGGGGTTTAGGGTTTAGGGGCTTTCGGTTTCGGGTTTAGGGGCTTTGGGTTTAGGGTTTGGCGTACCAATTTTTTTAGCAACAGGCCCTAATCGTAAAACTAGGCACCATAAAGATGGGTTCGGGTTCTCTGATCTCTTAAAGGGTAGGCGTTCTTAGGATTTGGGATTCGCGAATGTGGGGGGCACGAGGTGCATGATTGATTGGAGTGCTCTGAGAATTACAGTGTGTTGTGCCGTGTTCTGATTCATCAACACATGATGAGGATTGTTTTGCACGTCTTGTATCAGGGCGGCTGAAACCTTGCAGAACTTGGTGCATGGTGTACTCTGTTAATCCATTTTGCGACTATATTGCTGATGAGCTGCTACATAATATAATGGCATCTGCAGCGACTAGCTTACACCCTAAGCCCTGAATCCCTGAAACGGGGTTCAGGGCCGTTGAAATGCACATTGAGGGCAGGGTTGCGGGGTAAGGAATGAAGTGAGACAGTTGGGGTTTAGGTCGCCAATGCATCTTCTAGCCGTCGTCTGATCTTGCTTGGTACCCTGATAGATCCCTTGTAGGAGCCCTGGTAGATCCCTTAAATGGAGCCCTTATGGATCCTCTATAGGCGCCCATATATTAAAGGAGATCTTACACGATCTTTGTAGGAACTCTTTCCGATCCTTTCTTTTCGGATTCCGGCATCCTGCCATGATGTTCACATTCCGAGGAAGCAGTCTGTTCTGGACGTGTGCCTCGGCTGGAATCTGGCGGCTGAGGTTCAGAGTTCAGGTTTTAGGGTTTAGGGTTTGGGTTTTCTGCTGTCACAGTCAGGACATAATTTTATTCGCTATCACTTCCTGTTACGGAGACATAAACGAAGTTCCGCACCACAATCCCAGATATTGGCATGTTTAGGCTGCGCCGGCAAGCACATATCATTGCTCTGAGCCCATTCGAGATCTTGCTTTTACTACAAAGGATTGCTATTTGTTGCTTCTAGTTACCAACAGTCCCTATCAATTTCTGTTACTGTTATTATTCGTGCTAGTACTACGAAGGCTCGTGTACTTGTTCTGTCTACTGAGAAGCGTAGCGTTGCAGTACGCAAAGGCCAATAGCGCCCCGACATAGACGCAGACACTGATGATGTTCGCCCCATCTTCTTCGAAGTCATGCATGGCCGACGAAGTCAAAAGTTTACCCGTGAGGCCCATGAGGCATTGGTTAAAGCTAGTCGTACGTGTTGATGATCTGGCAATGCCCTTTCTAACACCACAAGCATTCAAGGTTCAGAGATGACGACTACATTATTAGCAACCTGGACGACCGAGCCGTCAAGCAAGCCCTCAACAACTGGGAGGAGGGGAGGGTTGGAGGCTGCAGGCATACCTTCCATGTTAGAGGAACATGAACCGTGCAAAGATTCTACTTGCAGACGTCACCATATCATTCTAGTCTGGTATACCACCAACGCGCGGTCTAGTTAATCCTTGCCGTCCACTGTTGTTTTGCTTTGGTCGGTCGGCTGCTGTGCTTACCACGCCTGCCCTGGAAGTAGCATTCTTTTTTTCGCGACTTGCCGAAATGGAAGTCTAGTTCTTTACCAAGCAGTCCAAGTACTAAGGCTCCTGCAATGTTAGAAGATTTCAAACCCTATCACAACCCAGGAAGCCTTATAGAACCCAGTATGCGCGTAGACTCTCACGCACATTCATGGAAACCTGCCTGCCTGCATGCATGCATGTTTGCATCACGCACAAAAATGTGTATGCATATACACGCACATACATACCAGATGAGGACCAGTTGTGTATGTATGAAGGTGTGTACATTATGTAACTAGGCCAGGCATGCTTGCCTTTGCACATGTGTATAACCTTACCCACCTACATGCATGCACACATCATACACGCATACATACATACATACATACAGGCACATGCACATACGCATATACACGCATCCACACAGGCACATATACAAGCACATATCCCGCACATGTACATTTAATATATACACATATCATATGTGTGTATCTATATGTTTATATATTGACTGTTGTGTTTGTATGGCTGTACGTATGTGTTCATACCAATCTCTATAGCTGTACAAATATCTATATATATATATATTTATATCTATATATCTATATCTATACCTGTATCTGTATACTCACATACATGCATACGTACATACGCGCTACATACCTATATAATTACATATGTACATACGTGCACACATACTACAGACACGCTCACATTCACATCCGCAAACATACCCACAGACATACACAGACAGAGACAGACAGACGCGCGGAGACAGACGGACAGCAGGCATACAGGGACAGTCATCCAAGCATGCATCCATGCATATACATATATGCATACATGCATATGTGTATATGCAGGTCATAGCGACTCCAATATCCCTTAATTGAGGAATATACTTTAAACTATAGTAGGATCGGTGATCTGATTTACGGAATGTTCCGTAATTAAGGGATATTGGAGTCTCTGGGGTTCTTATGTGCATGTATAGGAGATTGCATGCTGCAGGGCCAGGAGACCTTCTGCCCACTAACTCTGGCCTTCGATTACTCGCCCTGCTACAATCGCCACCTGGAGCATACTATAGAGGCCTAGATCATTACCCATACTATATTTGGGGGTTCCTTACTATTTCTATAACTATAGTATGATGGGCCCCAAAACCCTATTCTAATCAATAAGGCCTCTATAGCAGATTGGCCAGATTTTGTGTGGGGCTGGCATTTCAGGTTGGAGGTGATGTTCTGATATTTACAATAAGCATCTAAGAGTACGTAGTTATACGGGTATTGCAGACCCTGAAGAGGGGAAGGAGCACGCTCTCAAATCCTTTTTCTTCACGAGTTGATGAATCAGGGATCCAAAATACTATTCCTCGCTGTTCGCTAATACTCGTTAGTTGCATGCAGCCACCTATTGCGTGCGTATTTCCTTCTCGGAGTCCCTTTTGTAACTGAACAACATGAAGACATGAATCTGTGCTTTAAGGGGCGACTGGCGGACTAGGCCTGGAACTTTTCTATAGTATACAGCACCACGCTGAAAGTCTATCTTGAAGGAGCATGGCTACGTTGGAAGATTCAAATCACCTGCAGAACAGAGATGGGAGTTTCAGAAAGGAGAGGATTCACATACAATGGACAAATATAACCTGAAGTGTAGGACCCTCATTCCAACATATAACTCCGACACCTTGACCCAACACCCCTATGAGAAGACTGCTCGGCCGAGAAACGTGCCAGAAGTACAAGACCACTGAAGAGCGGCTCACGTGCCGAGCAGAGGCATCCAGTTACTGTGCCCAAAGGCGCCCTGGCGCAGGGCTCTGATCCAAAAGGAAACCTTAAACCCCCAAACCCGAAACCCTAAGTGCCTTTTGCTTCAGGGTAAAGGGTTAAGGGCTCAGTCATTTTATTCGTTGATTTTGACTTTTTGGCTTGAGGTCGCACCCAAGTCATATCGGGGATGCCGGAAATAGCCTCGTTACAAGGACAACTACTGAGGTCACGGGATAATAGTACGAGTACGTTTATGGAAGATGCTATACTCGCTAGTTTGGGAATTTGATTCATCCTATTGATTCAAAGGTACTTTGCAGGGAAACGCTGTACGCGATCTTTGAGATCCTCCCAGGGGTTTGGAGCCTGCCTTAACCCATATGATGGTAGGATAGCTTTTGGGTGTGTTCTATTTCTTTAGGTCCTTTGTCGGGCCTGCGGCTTCTATAGGGTGCGACTAGGTTAGCGGTTCTGATAGGGCCTATAGGGGTTTGTTGATGTTTTGAGGTTTGCATAATATCCTCTAGTTTGAGGAGTGCTCTGCAAGTGAGTGTTGTGATGTTTGTCTAGCACGAAGTACGGAATAGCTTGAGGCCCCTGTATTAAACCTGCGGTGTCCCATAGATTCTGGACAAGCCCTGAAAAGCAGCAGTTAAGGGAACCCTGAAGCAACCCCGTTCTAATCATTAAGGCGCCTGGATCAACTGCAGGGTAGTTCTCATGTTGGACTGTGATACTGGGGTCTTAAGAACGTAGGGGCCTTAATACTTACAATAGGGTTTGGGGTTATAATATGATACTATAAATATGATAAGGAGCCCCAAAAACTCGATTCTAACTATTAAGGCCCCTACAATAGTCAGAATGACATACCTTCTAGCCTTATACAGCCGTATTGTAATACCCACCCCAAACTTCATCCTAATTCTGAGGTCCTTGGGAACTTTAGGGCATCTTGAGTTGACTCTCTACGACTTCGCATTGTTGCGACAAACGCACAGTTTGATGCGGTTTGGGCCTTTGCAAGCACTTTTCAAGATCTGTATAAGGTTCTAGAAAGGGCTGTACAGGGTTTTGGGGCTCAGGACCGCAAACAATGGTTGCAAACCTTGGGCTAGCAACCTTACGGAACACCCGACGGCCCTTAACGCGGGAGTCTAACTTAAAAGCAGATGGAGGACCCCTCCACCGAAAGTTGCCATTGCAGTTCCTTTTCGAGATTACCTTAAAGGATCCTAAACATGTAGCTGGTTAAACCCAAAAAAGGAACTACAATGGATAAATTTGGTCGAATCAAAGGCTATGCAACTCTCTCGGAGCAAGCCCAGGTGTCCTACGAGGACAATCGTTACAGCCGATGGCGAGGCCGGGTCAGCTACTGTACGCCCCAGTCCTAAACCCGCAACCCTAAACTCCTAAATCAATACACCATACCCTGGAAGGGCCCCCACCCTGTCATAGTGGTATAATAGGAATATAATACGGCCCTAATATAATCCTTATACTCACTCACTATTACAGGGTGGGGGCCCCTTCTACACCATACCCTAAACCCCAAACAGACCGACACCGCTACTAAAGTGCTGATCGCATGCTTGCTTCACGTCAGCACTGTACCAAGACCATGGAGACACCAGTTGACGACCATCGTGAAATAACCGACACTTATGAGCAGTAAAACCGTATATAGTGTAGTCATCAGGACCCTTGAGGGCGGCAAGGGGAAGGAGGGTTGCGGTCCGTAATGGACCTACTAAGGACTTGATAAGGGTCTAATAAGCCCGATTGAAGTGAGTATAGTACCACCTCCCTAAGGGTCCCTATGATGTATACATATATCATATATATATATATATATGAATGTGTAATTTTCTGTGTATATATTTGTGTATAGACATACACACACACACACAAACCAGAACCTGTACCCTGAACCCCGTCTCATGTTCCCGAGCCCTCAGCGTCAAACCTTAACCCATAAACCCAGAGAGCAGCCTGGCTACAAGAAAAGGCTGACTAGGACCTAGAGTAGGCCCTTATTCCCTTTTTTGAGGGTTCAGGTTCCCTTATAACTCCCTTTAAACCAAAAAGGGCACCCTTTTTATTCCTAGGCTACGCTTAGGTCTAGCTGAAAGCGTCCCAAACTTAGTAGCTGAGCCGGCATCCTTGAACCCTTTGGTTAAAATTTACAATCATTGAAAAGGTTAACCCTTTTTGGGCTAGGGTACTCAGCCCCGAAGCACATGGCATGCTCGAAACGGTCTAGGGTTTAGGGTTTAGGAAACCCTAAACCCTAAATCCTTAACTCCCTGAACCTTAAACCCGGACCTAAACCCTAAACCCGGAAGGCAACTATCCCGCTTAACATGGAGACCTGTGAGGCGAGCGGGGCCCGGGTTTCGGATGTAACGGGTTTAGGGCTTCACGGTTTTGGGGTGTTTCAGTTTTTGGGTCTTAGTGTGTTGGGGTTTGGGGGTATTGAGGTTTTAGGGTTGTGAAGGCGTTGGAGTTTTGGGGTTCTGGGGTTCTAGGGTTTGGGATGTAGTACGGGGGCCTTTGTGTTTGAACAGGGTCCCTGAGAGGGTGTTTTGCAGGGTGTTAAGGGTTTAGGGCTGGATAGAGACCATCTCTTGCCGGGTCGCTTGCGGAATAAGTGTGGCCCATCCATGCTTTGAAGACAGGTGCCCAACCCCTCCGCTTGCCTGTGCCTCTTGTCCCTGAACCCCTATTCCCTAAATACTAAAGCCCTAAACCCTGTCTAAATCTTGTTGTCTGAGCCCAGAAGCTTTTCGAATGCGCCCTAATCCCAAAACTCTGCTTGCTCGCCGGAAGGCTTTGAAGGGCTCAAAAGGAGCAGAATCTTCGCGGTCTGAAGACAGTAGCCATGGGATGCGGAGCAAGTGCCTCGGGAACCAGAGTGCAGCCGGTGCTTCCTGCGCGACCTTCATCAGTGTTTGGGTGGCAGAACAGCTCATGATCCTCAAAGACCCTAAACGCCAAACTTCCAAGATCCATTACTTAGTCCCTAAGTCTAAGACCCCTAAAGGCAGAGAAATCTCTTCAAGCAAACCCCAAACAATCCGAGAGCCCTACAGTAAACGTAATCCAAGCCCCAAAACCCCGAAGCGCTGAACCGCCGGAAGCCGAACCCTGAGAGCCATGGACCCCCCGAAGTAAGCATCTTGATGTGCCTTAAACAGCACTCTTTGATGTCATATCGGTGAGTAGATGAGTCTATGCACGTTCACTCTCTCTCTCTCTCTCTCTCTCTCTATATGTATATATATATATATATATATATATTCATGTATATACATATACATGTATATTTCATCTATGTATGATGTATGCATGTGTGTATGTACAGTTTTGGGACAAGTGCACAAGCTGTCATGACAGGCCGTTCTGCCGGCAGCTGCCCCAAACAGCAGAAGACCAGTGAGAAGACCCAATGCTACGCAAGAAACTCCGAAGATAATATAGGGGCCTTAATAATTACTAATACTATTTTGGGGGTTCCTTATTATAATTCTAGTATAATGGGCAAAACCCTATTAAATTATTAAGGCCGCTATATTGGACCCTTCGCAAAGAAGCCTACCGCAAAGCCTACTGTTACTAAAAATCACCTCTGCCTTGAACTCTAAACCGAGCACCCTTTCCAACCAAGCCACACGTATCTGCCAGGGCACATTAGGTCGAATAGTCGTATACCCTGAACCAAAAAATCTCACCGTACGTGGGCGGTTCCCAAGTTAAGGTCCCTTTGTGTGGTCCCCAAAGTAGTCCTTATAAGCAGGGCCCTAAAAGGGATCCTAGTGTAGAGGACTACCCATGTGGAGGCTCTTGTTATGTAGCAACTCCACAGAGTTCCTATTCGCTCAACTTCGCATACTCGTCAAAAGAGCCTCCAAGTAACCCGCCGTAAAACCCCACACGTCTGTAAACAGCTCGCCGAAAGCACCCCAAAAACCCTGAACCCTAAACCTATGTATTCCATAGCCTAAACCCCCAACCCTAACCCTACTCCATACCCTAAACCCTAAACCCTAACTCTACTCCATACCCTGAACCCTAAACCCTAAACCTACCACATAAACCTTCTTCAGCCCTTGAGCCCGAAGCCCAGGTCGTCCCAATGCAGGAAGAGCCACCCTCTCCAGCGTCGCCTAAGGACGGTCCCAGAATACTGACCCTAAGGATTCTAAACTATGGGAACTATGGCATATTCCTTATAATGGGTATTGCAGGATTTTGTCCATCAGCAGTAGTATTGGTAACTATTTAGGAACCTATATTATCGTACCTTATTACAGATCCCTTACAGCACCCCTTATAGACGGTCGGGAGAGTTTGAGGTCTCCCAGTACTATCGGAGCCCTAATCATTGCCTATACTAGTTTGGGGGTTCCTTATTATCATTATAGCAGAATGGACCCAAAACCCTGTTCGAATCATGAATGCCAGTATATATGAGTCACCTTTGGCACTTTTGTTGTTTGGGTGGGTGTTTTCTTTTATGTAAGTCCGAAATAGTGGGTCAGAGGCGTACGATTTTGTTGTTATGGGGCTGCTGGGGGAGCCTAGTTTTCTTGGTCTAACATAGGGTTTCTGCCGTGGTAGGGCCGGGGATAACAAGCCTGGCTGGTTTTGAAAACTGTGGATACCTTCCAACGAGCAAGGCTCCTTCCTTGTTTAGGGTGATTTTAGGTTTTTTTCACTTTCAGAAATTGCCGAATAGAAGGATGTTGTGGAAAGAATTTGGTGAGCAGCAGGGGAAGTGGCGGCTGATGGTTCAGGGTCCAGGCTCCAGGGCGAAGCCCAAAAGAACTGACATTTTTAAGGCTCGGGTGTTGTAGCATTTTGGATTTCCTTGCACAGGTAGGTGTTTCTTTGGGCTCAGTCAGGGGTGACCATGGCAACAAGTAACGGGAGTAGAGCGACCTCACGCGTAACAGCACCTCACGATGGAGCAGCACAGTGGCCTTTACTATTGCAGCCTCTCAACTGGAAACAGGCAGTTGTGATACTTTCTGTTTTTGTTGTTTGATGGCTTCTTCTTGAATACAGATCTCCACGAGTATGTTTGGTTCCTCCTGCTAGGCGGAGTAATGGTAAGCTCACGCGGTTTGGGGTTTTGGGCAGTCAGGACGAGGATTTTCAACCAAGACCTGCGCCAAAAAAACCACCATAGATCCTAGACTCGACCTCCCAAGCTCCAAAATCCCATGCCCAAGCCCTAACCTTGAAAATAATGGTCGGAACACGTCCCTTTTAGTCCTTTACTGGTAAATGTGCTCCCAAAACCCAAGTCTAATCAAGGCCCTGATGCTCACGTCCAAGGGGCTCCGGGGTTGAACGGGCGATCGCCAGGAAACCTCAGAGGAACCTGTGACGATGACGACAAGCGACTTGTCGTGTGAAGTAGTCCATACTTACGGCTCACATAAGTTCTGTTGAGCCCGAACTGTGCTTTACCGCAAGGGGCAGAAGTTCCGTAGATGGTGTCAGATGTATGCCCTGCAGGATGCATGCATGGCCCTTCCATGGATAGCTAGACGCACAGATGTGACAACACGGTCGGCAGCATCCGTCCCGATACAACCAGCCTGCTTCTTCCGTGGTCAATGCTGGAACAGAGGTATGATGCTGCTTCTACTAGGATTTTCCATCAAAAACCCAGTAATTAGAACACCGCACGACCAGTCCCGGAATTTGGAAACGGGTTCCTGGATTAGATTTCTGGGAGGCTCTGTTGAAGTTCTTGATGCGGGCATGGAGGATTTGATCCATGGTCCAAAGCGAACAAATCCAAAGCAGCAGTCGAGATGGTTTTACAGCCCCGCAGACCTTAAATCCTGAACCTCCTACGCAGTGTTAGGGAGACGCCTTACAGGGAGACCCTTCTTAACCCTACTTCTGGCTCTCTTCAAAAGGGCCCTAATCCTAACCTCTATTTTCACCCTAACTGCCTGAACACGTCCTCTGAAACCCTTAAGCACGAACTCTCTCAACCTGTCGGCCCCTGAAACTTGGACGCCAAAGAACATACCTCCTTTAGGGTTCCTTATGGTTTCCCTTATATACATCCTTCAAAAAGGTCCGGGCAGCCCTCGATTGCGAAGTTTCTAGAGTATCTAAGAACTGAGCCATGCCAGAGGGCTCAAGGCTTGTGACTGTTTCGAGAAGCTTTAGGATTTTGGGTTTAGGATTAATTGGGTTTAGGGTTTAAGGTTGAGGGTTCAGGTTTTAGGATTTTTGGGATTGGAGGTTGCGCGTTCATGCCGCAAGCAGGAAGTCAAAAGCCTGATCCCAACTCTGCACCCCCGGAAGCCCGAAATCGTATCCAGGACCTAAACCCGAAAGCCTAAACCCAAATCTTTCAGCGTCTTAGCAGGCCCTACAAGGTCTATGTCTATAATGGAAGTCCCTGAACACAGTCTGTCCAACAGGTCGGCGTGCGAGGCCGTTTCCAGCATGCTCAAAGCCAGGGTTCAGGGTTCAGGATCCAGCAGAATGTATGATTTAGGTTTAGGGTTTGGTGCAAAGGGCTCTGGGTTTCGGATTCAGGGGATGCTTCTTGGTCTGTGCATCCCAAATATGCTCTTCTTGGGTTTCGCAGGTTTCTTCGTTTACGGTATGTCTCACAGGCTTCCAGGTCCAGGTGACCTTGAACTGAAGCCAACCGATAAGACCACAACGTATCCTTAGTTTCGCCCCGCTGCCTTTGGGTTTGATTTAAAGTTTGGGGCTAGGGTTGGGGGGGAGAGGATACTATAGCGTTATGGATTTGCCTAAATAGTAGGACCCTTATTATAAGGACCCCAAAATAAGGTACGCCTTATTTTCGGAAACTCCCATTTGAGGGCCTGGGGTCTTGGGTTTGAAGCTAACGACTTTAGAGTGTAGGGTGACATATTGACCGACTTGGTAAGCAGGTTTCGCGGAGATCTGTATAGTCCCCCAACCCTGAACACTAATCCTCTAAACCTTGAAACCCCAAACCGAAACCCGAGGACCTAGACGCCCTAATTTAGGGGCCTTGATAATCAGACAAGAAGTTTGGGGGTCCACTATAGTATCATGCCATAATTATATGTAAGGAACCACCAAAGTAGTATTGGTAATTATATATTTAGGCCCCTATACTACAGAACCCCATTATAGAGCCCTTCTAGTCTCCCTGTTTAAGGACACCGTTAAAGGAAACCTACAATTAGTATGTAGGCCTTTTTTGTACACCCCTAAAGCCTGTACCCCAGTCTCTCTGGGCCAGGTTCTGGAAGAAGATGAGCAGCAAGTGCCATGGGCTTCCCAGTGGCGATCTTTTGCCCTTTTTCTGTTCGGGTCTTCATATTAAAGCCCTAAACCCTAAGCAGTA